CCCCAAAACCCCAAAACCCCACAATGAAATTTATTAAAGCAAATAGAGTGAGCATAAATCTTTACCGACTTAATGAAATTAATCTAATTATCAATTCTTTTTAGTAAAACTTGAAATCGATTTTTGATTGCTTTTTACAACTACAGCAGGCTAGAGCTATTTTATCTTCAATTTTGAATTGCCTCTGCGAGTGCCACCTCCACCACTACTTGAACTATTGTTAAATTTACTCCCACTAGATATGTTTTAGCTGAACATTGTAGAGGTTGTCTTCTTTGAATTGGCATTCGCTGATTAATGTATGATTCGGTTAATTGACTCACCACTGTTCTATAAGGCAGCATTAGAAGAAGGAGGAGAGTCTGATTACTTCTAAGGTGTTGATGATGCGCTAGTGCTACTGTTATTCATTACAGCTGCTGCTTTCTTAAATACTGGTCTCTAACTTTTCTATTGCTTTTGAGGAATAGGCTTCTGCTATATTTGCAGTCTGGAGGTATTTTGCTAGGAATTGGAGGAGAACTGTGAGTTGAGTTTACTGCTTCCAGTTTTCTGGGAGCTGGTTTTGTCCTATGTTAACAATATTTGCTAGAGTTTGAGTTTAATTGGAGGAAAAGTAATGTTAGTTGATATCTAATCCGAGAGCAATGCTTATTGTTTAAGTTCTTCATCTATTGGCTTAAGGCAAATCTCTCCTGAATTGAGTTTAATGCTAAAGACTTGCAGAGACAATATGCTATCTTAAAATGAGGGGTTTTCAAAATCATCAAATGAAACCATAGTCTGTTTAATTCCAGTTTCACATGTCTGTGTTAGTAAAAACTACACTTCATATTTGTTCTTAAATCTTAAGTCACTATCATCTATTAATTTCTCAGGGTCATTTACTGCACTAGAATCCATTTAATCTTTCTATTCATTTGAGTTTTATTCAATCTCACTCTCTTTAAACTCCTCGTAAATATCTAAAAGTAGGTCACTAAGATCACTCAAAGCACTCTCATATTCATATCTATTCTGAACTTGCAGCGATGAAAGAGATATCTATAAGAAATTAAACATGAGTAATCAGGATTCTTACATAGAAATTTTTATTTAGATAGCTTCTCAATTCCTTAATCATTAATTAATGAAATTTTAGTCATAATCTCAGAACTTGCAAACTCTCATTATTTCCCTTTTGGGGTTTTGGGGTTTTGGGGTTTTGGGG